GGATGGATGGATGGACAGGTGGAAGAGTGGGTAGATATGTATGGGGATTTATGGAGGGATGGACAGACAGAAGGGTGGGTAGATATGTATGGGGATGGATGGATGGACAGATGGAAGAGTGGGTAGATATGTATGGGGGTGGATGGATGGATGGTCAGACAGAAGAGTGGGTAGATATGTATGGGGGAGGATGGATGGAGTAAGGAATGAAGGGTGGATATATATGTATGGGGGTGGATGGATGGACAGATGGAAGGGTGGGTAGTTATGTATGGGGGTGGATGTATGGAGGGACAGATGGAAGGGTGCGTAGATATGTATGGGGTGGATGGATAGATGGACAGACAGAAGGGTGGGTAGATATGTATGGGGGTGGATGGATGGATGGACAGATGGAAGGGTGGGCAGATATGTATGGGGGTGTATGGCAGGATGGACAGATGGAAGGGTGGGTAGATATGGATGGGGCTGGATGGGTGTTTTGGGGGATGCATGGGTAGATGTGTATGTGTAACTCTTCTGCCAGGTGGCTCCAGCAGCAACAATGGGTGGGTTGGGTGTGGTGATGCATGCTTGGACAGGTGGATGGATGGGTGCGTACAGGGATGGATGGAGGAGTGTTTGGGGATGGGTGGGTGTCAATGGGGATCTATCCATTGACTTTGGTGACTTTAGTTCACGCCCTTCTCTTTCCCTCTCATTTGTTCTTCATTCCATCCTGTCTCAGCCCAACTCTCACTGAGGTTTGTGCCGGTTGATCTGGGCCGACCCCTCCAGGGAGGTGTGATGGTCACGGGGAACCTGGGAATGTGGGATCCTCTTTGCAGACATGGCCCGTCCATTTGTGTGTCCCCAGCTCTCCTTCCCAGCACCAGGATGCAGCTGTGTCCTGGGGCTGGTCTCTGGGGCTCCCTGCGCCCTCGTCCCACTAATCTTCTCTGCTGATCCCCTCTGGGTAGGAACTGCCCGGCCCCCCAAGGACCTGGTCAGCTACCCTAATCCAGCCATGCCCTAACCCGCCTCCTTGTTCCAGCCAAGGAGCCGCGGGTGCAGGAACTCACCTTCCAGCCCAGCCTGGGGGAGCTCTCGGCCTCTGATGTCACCCACAACTCCATCCTGCTCTCCTGGACCGTCCAGACCGGGGACTTCAACTCCTTCCTCCTCCAGTACAAGGACGCGGAGGGGAAACTCCAGGCACTGCCCATGGATGGGGGATCCCGCACAGTCACTGTAACCAACCTGGCCCCCTCCCACAGATACAAGTTCAACCTCTACGGCATCTCCGGCCGCAAGCGCCTCGGCCCTGTCTCCACTGACATCGTCACAGGTCAGCGGCTGCTCTGGGGACGCAGCTCCTTCCCCTCCCACCCCCTTTGCTTTCCAGTGTGACATGGACACCAAACACTGGGCCAGGACGTTCCGAAGAAGATGCTTCCAAGAGTCCTGCATCCACAGCCAGATTGCCGGCCATTCAATGGATAGATAGGAGAGTAGATGGTCATGGGTGTACGTATGTATGTATGCATAGACAGACAGACAGCTGGATCGGTGTGCATGGGGCAGGGTGAGTGAATGGAATGATGTGTATGGGAACAGATGGATGAACAGATAGGTACATGGATGGGTGTCTAAAGGAGTGAATGGATGGATGGAGGGGATGGTCATCGATGAGTAGATAGAGGAATGGATGTATATGGGTGTCGCGGAGTGTGGGGGGACTCAGGGCCCTGCACCCCCGGCGTCCTGCGATTCACCATGACTCTCAGCCAGCCAGTAAAGCAGGAGGTTTATTTAGATGACAGGAATACAGTCCAAGACAGGTCATGCAGGCGCAGACAACAGGACCCCCCCAGTTAGGTCCATCTTGGGGTCCTCGGGCACCCTAGCCCCCCTGGGAGGTCAGAGCCCCGTCTACCTCCCAGCCATGGTCACTAGCCAGCTCCTCCAACTCTGCCTTCAGCGACCCCTCCCACAGCCTTTGTTCAGTTTCCCGGGCAAAGGTGTCACCTGGCCTCTCCCCCTTCCTGGGTTCTCATGTTACATGCTCAGGTATTCTCCTTCGGTCAGTCTCCCATCCCCCAATGCCGACTATCCCAGCCACACTCCCCTGTCAGCATTCACAGACCACATTAAGAACAGTCCCAGTTCGTCACATCTCTCCCCCCTCCGAGACCGAACTGAGCGGGGTCACTTTAGCCAGTGACCCGGGGGAAGTTCGAACCTACCCCCGTTCCCATGGATGCCCCCGCATCCCTCCCATTCCTTGGTGAGAATTACACCAGGCCCCTCCAGTTTCACGCCCCCCGTTAGGT